TTCGCTGAAGCTGTGGTAGACTTCGACCTGTCATTGGTCACCGACGTTACAAGGTACATCTAAATTTTTTGATGTCGAACGATTCGCTATTCAACTGTCTACAGCTATGCCAAGTTTGGCGTGGCTGGAAAATCTTCGGGGGGGGGGGCAATTTGAGCTCCCCACCCGAGCGCGTGTTAATCGACCTCATGCACCTGTCTTCCCTCACGAGTCGCGTACACGGGAACGTCGTTAGCTCCGAGTCCACACAGCACATCAATAACCGTTAAATCAAGTTGTGCTGGAGCTCAAGGTAGCAAAAAAGCAACAACAAATGTCTTGCCTGAAGCTGCATTATTTTATTTTATATTCTAATCTGGCATTGAGCATGAACAATGTGGCCTTGTGTGCTGGCCCAACACGCCTGGAAACTCGCGCATGGCATTCGATTCAGCAATCATCTTATCTGACGCTGGCTTCGATTAAACCAGGCCGGGGCCGAAGAGGTCAGTGAGTGTACCTCGTCATTGCCGAGAAGTCGGTGAAATGAAGACCTGCAGTTTTGCTGCTTTCAGCAAACACCTCCAGGGAATGCTCAATAAAAAAAAATTGAAATTCGTTGACCGCGAGTGCGAGTCATCATCAAAAGCAAGAGTTGTTAGCCTGTTAGCTGTTTCAAATATGCATAATTCTCATTCCAAACTACATACATCCGTAAAGTAACTTGACCTGAAGCACAAACTAACAAACAGGAGTCTGCGCAAAATCACCGAGAGCTTTCCAGATAATAACTCTCTAAAGTGCGTGGTAGAAATTGAGGATAACTGGCATACGGCTTGCTGGAAAAAGCATAGTCATCGGTCTTTCAAATATTGTGGCAATCGCGCCACCGCGGTGTGTGTGAGACGCATGGTCTATGAACACAAGCTCCGGATCAACAACAGGATCGAGCTCCGCCATGGAAGTGCGAGCACGGATCGTGAGATCAGGATTCTCACGAGGTATATGTATATATATATATATATATATATATATATATATATATATATATCCCGCTATAATGTTTCCACTCAAATGTGTGTGCATGTGCACCTATTTGACTATCTTTTAATGATCGTACATGTTTCAGGAGTGCATTGCTTTGCTTTCGGTCTTCTACGATGCACTTCCAGGGGCGTCGCTACATTTACTTTCTGGGGGGGGGGGGGGGTTAAGCCCCCCAATGCTGACTTGAGATCCCCCCCTCCCAATGCTTTTCTGAGCCCACTCAATGCATAAGAGCAAAGAGGGAATACTGGACCAATTACCTGAACTATTGGCATACCAGGTAGAAGTTACATAAACACGTCACTACTAATATCGTGCTTATTTTGTGCCAAGTGGTATCCTGTAGGTACCTAGTGTTTTTGTGATGCTAACTGCTCCATTTGTTAAGCATACCAAGCCGAAATGTCTGCAAATCTCTTCATACGTCTGCGAATGTTTAAAAATTTTTGCAAATGATAACGCCTGGGTTGGGGTAAAGAATAATTGACTGCAATATGCGGCAGCTTTAAAAGTACAGAGTGGTGCGAATAACAGCTAACGAATGTTTTCGCCAGCAGTGGCAAGTGTATTTGCTGCATAATCGCGTTTATGGTGGTTGCACAGTACGATCAGCGACAGCCGTAGGTATCAGTGAATCCTTACCAATATTTGTTAAGTTTTTTTTTGTTTTGCTGTGAATTACGCCTAATTCTGAGCTTTTTACAAAGGGCAGCTTACCTGAACTTGCAATGGGAAGTCATGACCTGCAGGAAAACAATTTCGAATCTATGAAATATTTAATGAGTTGGTCTTTCATTTTAACATCCAGGACATACATTCAAGCTACTGAAATGTGAAGAGAAATCAGGTTTGAGAAAAGGTTAGGTCAAACTTTTTCGGCTGAGCCCTCAAAGCAATATAAGAGAGTGATGCCACTGCGTACTTGCATGGAGCCAGCAGTATCCCATTGCGTAGAATGATCTTCAACAAACTTTTTGAATTTTGAATTTGACCACAGTTATGTTAAATGTAATTTCACGACCTGATAATCGGATACGACAGCCAAGACTCACAACAACCACAGCTTGCCTTAGTCATTTATTTAATAATTCATTCTGTCATAACGCTCAAACTAAGTTCTCAGGAAAGAGAACAGGTTTTTAGTGTCACGCTGAACCCAACGTCGCCATAACAAAGCCACATCTGATTTTGTGCGAGGTACTCTGCCACATTATTCTGCCTTGCCATCGCGTAGAGCTTCCGCTGCCGCACAAACCGAATGAAAACAAGCACAGTGGATGTCTTGAAGTATTCCACCAAAGCTGCTTTTCCTGTCAGAGAAGTGTTGAAAAACCATCATGTCACTAGAAGCGTGGTATGAAAAGTAGACAAGTAGGCTCTACACTCAGGTTAGTGCGAACGAATGGCAGACGCCAGCTTTATGCGATGGCTAATGGGCCTTTTACAGCAGAAGAAAAGAAACGGGAGCCCTTTTTCGGCAAAGAGAGCAGTGCTGGACGTAAGTCATAAACGATCAAAAAGGAACCGTGACGTAGTCTCAGAAAATGCGTTGGCGCTAGACGTGAAGAACATGAAGTCTGTCGCCAAAATTTTCCAGCGAGCGAGATTCCCCCGGATTTGACCTGGTTGTCTCTCAAAGTTGTTCGGACTGGAACCAATGTGGGGGGGGGGGGGAGGACCCCGACAACTATATAGTAAACTACATGCCTGTATGGAATTTTATCCTCCCATGTCACCATGAAGAGGTTGCTGCCTTCGCGCCCATCACACAAGCTAGGTGGCAGTTTCTTCACAATACTTGCCGTTTTTTCATGTCTCCATTTCGGTTTTCATCATTTTGGCCCGTCGCCCTTTTCACATGTCATCATCTGTTCGACAAGCCAATTAAAGGGACATTTGTTTGCATGGGGCTTCATTAACGCATTTGTATAGGGTTTCAACTGAGTTAACCATTTTCCCGACGACTTAGTGCAGTTCACAGTTATACCCTTCTTAAGGCTTGAAATCCTCTCGCTTCTGCGCCATGCACTCAAGAACTTGTGTAGACTTTTTCGCGGCGCCCATTTTGAAATTATTCAGGTATGCAGGGCGCGATGGGCACGTTACGCAAATTCTGCCTCCTCGATCGCCATATTGAGTTCCAGGGCAAGAAAAATGTGACTTTTGGCTTTTTCGTGACTAAAGAACGTCAACACAGATAATTGCATCAGCGAACAGCGGTTAGCTTTCAACCAGCTGGAACCACTTAATGCAAGCTTCGAACACGGACAGCTTTTCATGATACATGATTCAGACATTTGGGCGTTACGACGGAAATTAGCCCGATATTTAATAACCTCAAAATAGCGGCATAACGGTGAATGCCAGTTAAGTAAAAGGGATGCCATCACGGAAAGATATAAGAGAACAGCAGGAGTAAAAGTCAAAACGTGCGTACATGACGATGTCAGGGTCATTTCACACACAGCTGACCACCCGTCGGCGAGTTGAAATAATACAAGTGAGGCAGCCCGCAAAATACAGCGGCAATTCTGACACGGCTAGCCTGGCAGCGACTCTGATGCCATAAAACCGCTTCATGCCATAGCCAAACGATGGCGTACTGAGGAGCGTATTAACTAAGAAGACAACTTTTGCCTAGAACAGCCTTCTCCACTTAAAGCATAGGAATAGTTACAAGTTGACTTTTTCCATCATATCTGAAGCTTGTATCAACATTTTCAACTGCGAATATTTGCTATAAACAGCTCACCACTGAGCCGTTCACTAAGCTAGCATGTTATCTTTTTTAAGTGTCATCGTTTTGCAGTTCGCCACTTTGGCTTGTTGGCTTGGTGGCATGTCGCCATTTTTTGCAGCCTATCATATATCCTTTCTTAATCTTGGCATGCCACCATTCTTCCACGATGCCGTCTTACAGCTCGCCATTTAGCTGATTTGGCTTTCTGGCACGTCGAATTTTGAGCGTGTCGGCATTATGGAAGTTGTCATATGACGGTCAGTAACAAAAAAATAAATAATTCAAAATTACGTAAGTTGTTCAGTGCCTCAGCGAGGAGCATTATTCACATAGATCAGACAGCAGTATTAGCCTTATTCCTCGGAGAAAAACCATGATAATGGAGGCATAGTTGGGTTGATAATTCGGCAACATGCGTTTATCAAAACAATAGTGGCCTGCAGGGCAGGGCGAATATTCACTTCTGCTATCGTTTCTATAAACGCATGTTGCCGAAACATCAACCCAACTATTTCTCTATTCTCCTGGCTTTTCTCCAAGGAATAAGACTAATACTACTGTCTTATCTATGAAAAAAATTCAGCAAACTGCAAGTACACCTTTTAATACACCGTAAATACCAGCCTCGCACAAATATTCTGCTGGGATAATGATAAGTCTGTGGATCTACGAGGTGAACATGTGAACATGTGACAAAACATGTTAACTGTATCCTGTATCCCGTAAGTCTGTTCTCGTCAAAGTTGAAGGGTTCGCGAGTTGAAATGTACCTACCCGTGGTGGACTTGCAGAACGGCCGTATGCGTATGCGCGGTTATTGCACGCACCGAACGGATTCAGAAACGTGCACGTCACTGTTGGGCAGACGCACGGTACCAGCTAGCGCGTCAGGCGGACTCGACTTGCGCGTCCGGGCACAGGCTGCACTCTTGGCCGCGACGTCACAGCACAGGGCGATAGCGATTCCTTTAAGTTTAACGGATCTCGCGGTGGACACATGGGTATGCCACGCTGCAGAGATTGTTGCGCAAATCCTTAACTTACGAAGGCGTGCGTTTTAAGTCGAGCATCGCAGACCGCAGACCGATGCATATCTTACTGAAGAGCCGTTTCCACTTGTCAAATGGCATGTTATCTGTGAACGTCGTGTATTCTCGTAACTCAGTCCTACTCGATAGTATTTTGGTCATAACAACCCTCCGGCCTCCCCTGCAACAGATCACAGTGCCGGATGAGCCCCCCCCCCCCCCACTCTCAGCAGTGCAGGCACTTGTCCCTGCAGGAGCAGGGTGTGCGTGCCGGTCCGACACCCACTGCCACCTTCATTTCGAGACAGAGACGCGGCGTCACGCTCCACCGGTCAACCCGTGCCGACCAGAGCCACCGATACTGCTGGAGATGACCGTGGTAGCGCAGGGTGGAGGCAGAGCCGCCGTTGGCGCGGCCAGCCAGACACGGCCAGCCAGACATGGCCAGCCCAGACACAGCGAGCCAGACATGGCCAGCCCAGACACAGCGAGCCAGACACGACAAGCCAGACACGACAGGCCAGACACGGCGAGCCAGACACGGCGAGCCACGACACGGCCAGTCCAGACATGGCCAGCCCAGACACGGCCAGTCCAGACATGGCCAGCCCAGACACGGCTAGTCCAGACGGCGCCAGTAGCGCACGTGCGGGCGTTTGGCTTGAGTGCTTCACACTGGCCTACCGCTTGGTGCATGGACAAGCCTCGTCAATGCAGTACGTCTATATGATTATGCATGTAAACGATGCGGGGTGTGCGAGTGCGCCAGGCCGTATAACTCCGATTCCATACGCCAAAGGCGGCGCCGCAAAACGCTCGAAACGGCCGAAAGAAGTGTGCGAATCTGCGAATCTGCGAGGAATGCGCACGCTGACTGATACCTGAGAAAAGTTACGATTCGGATGTAGAACGCAGCCGCCAACATAATTATGCCTCAAATCACGAGCGCTTACACCCAGCGATAAATTAACACGAAGATCACAAACATACGTAAACTGCGCCCGCGCCTGCGGCACAATGTGCTCTTTTCAAACACGTCACTTTAGGCCAAGACACGCCTCCAGCGCTCATCGTACCCGCATCCTCGGCATGCAAACACATACCGGCTGCAGCATTAACATCTTACGACGTAACATGACACCGAATTGACGCACATGCAAAAGCGCTCGCGATAAAACTGGAAACGTAACACGACGAAACAAAGCGAACAAGTAAAAACGAAAACAGGAGACCCCATAAAGCTTTTCGCTGTGACGGTCCCACCATCACAGCGATCCCACGCCAAGAAATGCAACTGTGCCACATCATTCGACCCAGACCGATGTCCTTGTGTGGTTCAACGTTGGAGGGCCCGACCCGCCCTGGGCAGCGACGCCAGCCATCTCTGCACACAGTCGGACACCTCATGCCCCTGCCCCTCTCCTCCCCATCGTGCCCCTTGTCCTGGCGGCCAGCTGACGCGGCCTCCTGCTGTCACCACCGGCCGTTGGTGTATCACAACACCGTCATCTGGCGCCGCTCCGGCAGCGGCTCCGTCAGCGGTGCAGGGCAGCCCCCTCCCACTGCCATCAGGGAGCGCACGCCTCCCCCGCCACCTGGGCGCGGCCGCCGGGGCGCCGCATCACCTCTCCAGGTCCCGGAACTTCTCGAGGTTCCTCACGCTGGTGGAGAGTCTGCGGACGGGCTCAGGTGATCAGACGGAGCCACGCCGGCGCCGCAGGCCCCCGGCCAGCGCCAGGCCGCGAGTGGCGCCCACAAGCACACCCCAGGACGCCGGCAGCGTTTACCGGCACCCTTCACGGTCCCATACCGGCTTCACGCGAAGGCCCAAACGAGACCGGCGGAGTGTGTCCGGCCCGGCGATCGGAAGAGCCTGCGCACCCGTCATCGGCAACCTCAAGTGCCCGGCTGACCTCAAGTGCCCCCGAAATGGACCCACTCTAGACGGTGCGGGGGCGAGGGATTCCATTCACAGACAAATGTCAAGCGCGGCACGACGTTACGGGCAGCTCCAAGTCCGCAGGTCAGTGTGATACGCTCGACTAAAACCTGTCAGCTGGGGAGCGTTACACACTAGTTTACGGAAGAACGGCGACATAGCTCTACGGCCCGCACTGTTCATGTTATGCCGCAAACAGCGAGACAAAATACCGTATCTACAATCACACCAGAGGTCGCACGCCAGGTCCGGACATATAAGATGTTGAATATTCACTGATATGAGGAGCACGCCAGGCTAGCCGCTCGAATGTCATTCTCAACGAATCGGAAAACATTTTCCGTCTCAGTGTATGGTGATAGCGGTAGAGCGTCGGTCTCCGCCCCTAGCGAGCGGAGGCCGACGCAGCGAGTTCGGGAAACAACTCACACGCCGGTTCGGCGCCCACCTGGAGGTGAAGTTTTTCAACCCCGTCGTGTTAATGGAGCATTGTTACGACGGGGTGGAAAAACTTCACCCAGCCGAACGGCTCATGACACTGCACGGCACGTTGAAATTGTCGGTAACCTTTGGCTCACAGATTGAAGCAAAGCTACCGCATCGTTCGGACTTCTTGTGCGGGGCGTCAGTTTCCAAGCAACACACTACGCTTCACGAATATTCTGACTACAAAGCCACTCGTCGTCATTAGGGCTTTACGACGCACTCAGCTGCTGAGACTATATGGCGTCGCCTGCCTCTCAGCCTAGCAGAAAGGGCGCGCACCGCGGGGAATCGACTACAAAGTCACTCAGGCGAAAACTTCGGGCGACTGAAAATAATAATGCAGTACGAATGCTTTCGCCACAAAGCCCTTCCAAACTCAGCCTCTCCGAGCCCGAGACACCTCAGAAGACCATTTGGAAAATCGGAAGCCTTCCGCGCTCGGACCCCAGATAACCTACATGAGGACTCTGGGGTCAATTCGGCGAAGTAAAATGCTCCTTTACACAGGGAAAATGCTTCTTTTCTCTTTTTATACAGACACCCCAAAAGCGAGCTAAAGCCTTTGACTTGGCCTGGGCCCCAGAGGGTTCCAGCGTCTAGGGGAAGAGAGGATGCCCCCAAGGAACCCACACGAGTACGTCACAGAGCACATGGGTGTGGTTTAATGGAAGTAATCCACCGATACCACCACAGAACATTTCCCTCAGCAACGACAAAAGCTGACAGCCTAAACTCTTCGCAAAAAGTGATGCATAATCCCTTGTTTGCTACCAGCAAGAATATTAACCATTAGAGAGCCTCATGCCGACACAAACGGGAACGACAAACAACAGACAGCATGCACTAGAATAACTTTAAGACCAGTTCAGTCGCACGCATGAGTCGGATGCTGAGCCCACGAGTACCAGTTTACCTTGAATGGGCATATCATATTGGACGTATGAATTCGTAATGAATCAAAACGGACTCATGCTGAGACAGCCACTTCTAAAGCTCTGCCTCCGCACGGCGAGACGACGGCTTGCATACGTACCTTGCAAAGGCGTTAAATAGCGCAACAATCTCATTCCTGGACAGCTGAAACTTCTGTCGCTTGGGCGAGCCCTCCTTAAACACGTCCGGATTGTCGAACTTGCCAGAGAACAGGATCTTCAGAGCCGTGCCTAAGCCCTGGGTCTGGAACGAAATCGGCACGTAAAGAACCAGCAGCGGGCCACGAGGAGGCAGCATGCCAACACGGACGTACACAACGCAGGCCGTAGCGCACTTGTAGATTGGACCCATTGAGTACAAATACACTCTGACAGACAACAATGTGCTGGCATGGGTGAAACACAACATATTCAAATTACTCGCGGCAACATTCAGGCCTTGCGCATCGCATACTCGTAACGACACGCCATACCACGATGACCCCCGACGCACCACCTGATGATGGAGGCACGCCACTGACCTGGAGCTTGCCCCAGAGCTTGCACTTCTCGCAGCCGACGCAGTCCATGATGCGCGAGATGTTGCGGAAGTGCTCGCGGAACTCGGTCTTAAGCTTGCGCGCCTCCTGGCCGCCGCGAAACAGCACCGACTCGTTGAAGTGACTCGGGAAGTCGCTGCCGGAAGGCGCCCCCGCTCAGTCCGGGGTGCGCAGGTCACAGCCTCTGGACCTCCAGGGTCCGTGTAGGGTCAACTGAGTGCCACCGGGGGCACGCTCGAGGTGCGGGGTGTAGAGTCGAGGTCGAGGCTAGGGGTGTGTCCGGTCGGAGGCCCTCTAGCCCGCGAGGGTCGGCCGGTCACCTGAGGCCGCGTGCCGCCAGGGGTCAGGTCATGATCGGCTGGGAGCGCGCGCGGCCGACTGGCTGTGCTGCGGCGTGGATCGCAGGCAAGCGCGGACCGAGCCGCTGAGCCGCTGCCAGGCCGGACCAGACTGCACCACCGTCCCCCGCGTCACCTCTCGAACAAGGTCAATCCAACACAACAGGCGTCAGAACACTACCCCCACTACCCAAAGTTCCCGACGTCACGACGCTCTGAGACAGACATCCACTCCAGGCATCCATTCCCCGTTGCATGAGACGCCAGCGCCGCCGGGTCCGGCTCCGGTTTGCTCACCTGATGACGGGCAGGATGTCTCTGACCGCTTGGCGCACCTCGTCGTCCTCCTCGGCGTTGCCAGTAAAGTACTCGAGCTGCGTCAGATAGGGCGCCGCCTTGGCCAGCGCGCGCAGCTCCAGCAGGTACACGAAGTAGAGGTTCTTGAGGCGGCGAGGCCCGTGGCCGCCGGTCAGCTCCGGGTCGAATCGCCGGTGGAACTCGGCAGCGTTCGGGCCCCAGCGGGCCACCTCAGGCGCCAGCTGGCCCAGACCGCGGCACCCCTCTGCGGGACGGGAGCGGTGTCACTGACGGGCCCCAGCGGGCCACCTCAGGCGCCAGCTGGCCCAGACCCCGGCACCCCTCTGCGGGACGGGAGCGGTGTCACTGACGGGCCCCAGCGGGCCACCTCAGGCGTCAGCCAGCCCAGACCGCGGCACCCCTCTGCGGGACGGGAGCGGTGTCACTGACGGACCCGCTGGACCATCGCGACCCCAGCTGACCCAGATCGCAGTCTACATCGAGAGAAGTGCATGAAATTACACACCTGTGTAGCTCCGATCATTGTGTCCACATCTGCCGCCCAACGTACTTGTCGCGATACTTCGGATGGGTTGGGAACATCAATCGCTTGAAATCTACGCAGTTCATCGACCGAAATTGCCGGGTCGGACCAGGCCCATTGGAAGCGGATTTCCAGTGTTACTTGTAAATTTGTTCGCGACACCACACGTAACTGGCCTCTTTGTATCATACAATCACGTAAGACGGGCATTCCAAAGAACTGACGAGTTCTCTTAGTGCAGGTTCTCAAATGCGACCAGCTTCCTTCACTTAGGCCACACTATCTCTTCCATGATGGAACTCGCGCCTGCGGGTCTCAGTATCACCGTCATGATAGTCCTTACGTCCGCTTCGATCCCGCTGGTCCCACACGGCCCACGCCGCAACAATAATTTTGCTCATTACACACAGTACGGGATTACTAACGACTCACAACGATTTACAGCGATCCACGACTGAAAACACACATGCTCCTACGCAGTGATGGGCGACATCACTGTTTGAAGGGACGTGATACAAACGCCAAGTTACCAATGACGGTTGGGGCCACCCCTGGGCACTTAGTGGATACGAACAACTAGCCGGCAATCCATCTTTGACTCGTCATTCGTCCAGTGCCCGAACGCACGCTGGTAAAAGGTCTCATAGGTTAAGGTGTCAAACAATGTCAGGTCAGTCTCATGGGCAAAGGTCTTACATAAGGTCCGAACACGGTCTCATAGGTCAAGGTGCCACAAAAGGTCGGGACAATGTCTCACAGGTCAAGGTATCATACCGGGTCAGAATAAGGTATCATAGGTCAGGGTCTCATACAGTCAGAACAAGGTGTCATAGGCCAAGGTCTCATACAAGGTCAAGACAAGGTCTCATACGCGCGCAGAGGCCGGTGAAGGCAATCGACCTATACACGAGCAGAAAACATATTTGGCCTTCGGACTGGGTTGTTGGGTCGAGCAAGAGCGCTGGTGACTGAACCATTGGCACGAAATATGGGGTGATTTGAGAGCGCGAATATTCAAAGTCATGTAAAGGAAGATTTACTGATTTAGTAATTCAGACTAGGATGTTATGTCGACAAATGCCCTGGTGATCAAACCACTCAAATTACTTATATAACGATTACTTTCGCGACGACAAATGTTAAACGATTTGTTAAGACAAATTATGCTGATAGACAAAGACTGCATGCGCATTAGCCTGAAAAATACAAGGACACCTCGTAACGCAATTAACAATCTGATCGTTACGGCGAAGGAATGATCAGCAAAAACGACCCATCCCAAAAATAATCGCAACTAGGATGCTGCAGTTTCGCCGTCCAATCTTCCCATCCCCGACCGCAGGACGTCAGCTGAGCACGTCGCCGACAGGCACGCGCGCGCGCGCCCCTGCCCGCCCGCGTCAGCACCAGCCGACTGACCTGAGAGCAGGTACTCGCTGCAGAGATGGACGGTAATGCTGGTATGCAGGCCCGATATGGCCCTGTAGAACACGCGCTCCTCCAGACACAGGCCTGCGGCAGAGGCGGCGTCAGGGGCGGGGCGGGACGGGGCGGGACGGGTCAGCCGCCGACATGGAGCACTGGCGGCCGCCGCTGAGACCTGCACGTCCCGTCCTCATGCACCCAGAACGAAGGGCAGGTCAGGACGTCACCAACGGCGACGACACCGCACCCACACCGAGAACAGCACCCCGCCAACCCGTGTCGAAGGTGGGATGGTGACGGGCGCGGGGCGATGGGAGTGATTTGGTGGCGCAGATCAAGCAAGAGCGACAAAGCAGGCAAACTACGTAGCGTTACGTGCACTACAAGCCCGAATTCAAGCCGCTGACGACAGAGGTTCCGGCGCCACATACGTCCAGACAATGAACCAAACTGAACAAATAATGCGCCTAGTGCTGCACTGAACCAGACAACTGACGCCTCGCAACACCACATACGACGCCAATGATTTTCCATCTCATGCACCACTGAACGAATTGAGCAAGCCATTTTCTTCGACAACATCCATGCCCGCTAGAGCATGAAGAGACCTTCAAGTCTTAAGGTCACCAATTCACAAAATGAAATCAGTGTATAGGCTCTTCACGCTCGGACAGCGCTAAGATGCAAGTCATCCACGTGGCCGTAGCAAAGAGCCGTAACAGAGCCCGGAGAGTGACTGAGACAAACCGTACCACCTGTGACTTCCGGTGGAACATCCCATTAGGCACACCATGGCACGACACCGGCGTTCAGCTCACCAGAGATCGAGAAGTGATTGTGAATGCAGCCAGACACCGAGCATGGAGAGGCACCAAACAGCCGGGGCAGGGAGGAACGGCACAGCAGACGCGCACAGATGCTCACTCCGCGCCCGCAACCACGTCGCACCCAGCAGCCAAGCACTTACATAAGAACTCCACCCCACAGGCATAAAAGCACCGGAAAACGAACGCAGCTACGTGTGCACCCACGAGCAGAGCACAGAGCTAGGCGGCCAGCACTGCAGCTGAATTTCCCGGGTGCCCAGGCGGGCCCAGCAGAGGCCCCGTCAGCAGGCGCTCGGGGTCGGCCACTCACCCATCAGGAAAGGGTCGGCTAGGTCAGAGAAAATCACGTCACTCGGGGCTCGGCGCGACGCGTTCAACACCAGCCCTAAGCAAAGGTCGGCATCACACCAGCGTGGCCGCAGCGGCAGCCATTACGATAACGTAAAGCAGCGGCGGCGGCGGCGGCGGGCACTGCGAGGATTGCAGGCCGGGCCCGCAGGAACAGGATGCAGTCATCGGGTAAGGCTTCGAAAATGGTTGGAAATACGAACAGTCGGCTCACACATAAAACAGCTGTCAGTGACATCCAGCGCGTCGATCTATACCGAATTACAGACCCAGTGCAATGGAGCTATACTTTTATCTCTACATGTACCCGCAGTGAAGGGACAGCGTGTACATCCATCATTAAAATGCACTTATAGTCAAGTAGCATTTAGGCGGCAACATGACAGAAGGCGACATGTCATGTGTGCGAACGCATGTCATATCATACCATGTAATATGACACGTCACGTCATGTCTACGAAAGCCGCTCAACGTTCTGAACGCGTATTCGGCGAGGCAACTCTGGCCAACGAGACACACGACAGATTTTTCAACGGCAAGTAGGCAGGCCGCCTCGCAGACGAGTCTGTGGGATTACCGTCCCAGCGGGGCACAGCTTGCTACAAAGGCCCGTGCTCCACCGCTCCAGCAAAAAACAAAACACAAAACGAAACAAAACAGTTCAACGGACGAATTTTGCCCGGGGAATGAAGGTGCCACGTGATGTGACACAGCAGCCGCCCTTTCAGCCTAACTCTCTCGGTCAAAGGCCAGCGGTCAATGGTCAATGGTGGCAAAAGGCCAATGGCCGTCGCGTACGAGTCTCGAAAGTGATATTTCTGGCACGCCAGTCCCCATGCCTGCCACAGAGCGGTCGGAATGGCCGACACTCTACGACCTGAACTCAGTGACAGAGAATTGGTTAAGTTCCGGAAAAAATATAGTGTAAAATCCGCAGATCACATTCTCAAGCACACAGGATGCGCTGTCAACAGCCCCTCTGTTGATCATTGTGCAATGCTACGTACCTCCGAGGTTTGACGCATCGACGATTGGGCCGTACTTGTTCTCGGGACTACTGACTTTCGGTCTGCGAAAATACGTCACAAATAAATCGGGAATTTATCGGGCATTATCGGGCGTTACAAGGAGCAGATATCAAATGTTCTCAAGCTAGGACTAACCACATGCATTTTTAGGTCGCATAAATCAAAATAAACCAAAATTCAATATCCCGCTTCTAAATCTCGATTGCACAGTGACGGCGTCCACAAAATGTTCACATTATCACCAGCCGCAACGCATCCACAATGTATGCACACTCTGGACAGTCAACGCAGACCTTGGTGACCAGTGACAAACTGATCTGCTCCCCTGGACCCCGGTTGATCAGCTTCCCTGGACCCAGTTGATCTGCCTCCCAGGACCCGGTTGATCTGCTTCCCTGGACCCCTGTTGATCTGCTTCCCTGCGCCCAGTTGATCTGTTTCCTTGGACCCAGTTGGCCTACTTCCCTTTATCCAGTTGACCTGTTTCCCTGTTTCCAGTTGATCTGCTTCCCTGGATCCAGTTGACTTGCTTCCCAGGACCCAGTTGATCTGCTTTCCTGGACCCCTGTTGATTTGCTTCCCTGGACCCAGTTGATCTACTTCCCTGGACCCAGTTGTTCTGCTTCCCTATACCCAATTCGTTCGCGCAGCAGCCCTCACAGCTCCATCACGTTGCGAACATTGCAACGCGATCTAACACACGCACTGGACGAAGCACTGGCACTAAAAGCTTTGACCGGGCGCAACGAGCACGCTCCGCACGGAGGGGGCGGGGGCGGGGACACCGCATCTGCCCGTTGTCGTGCTCCCGACATGCACATGCAAGGGCACTGGAGTCACTTGATCACCACAGCCCGGCGGCGGTGCCAGCCGCCGCCGCCGCGTCGTGCCGGCCGGCGGCGGCGGACGCATATAGCCGCTCTCGAGCCGGCGGTTCTCGAGTGGCTCAGAGAGCGACTCGGAGACGCAGCCCGCCGAGCCCACGTGGCCTGTAGCCACGCGCCACGACCGGACACCAGGCCCGACCGCAGCCGGCGACACGCCGCCGCTTACCAGCGACTCAAGCTCGTGATCCTCGACGGTCGACATACCGGCATCGTATGATGGTGATCATCACGACTGGCGCTTAAGGGCGCACCGACAGCCGGGGGTGTTCGGGCTCGTCTCTTCCATCACGCGGCCAAACCAATGCTCGTCCCTCTCTCCGGCACTCTTCCCTCGCTGTTCCCAGCTTCTCCTGCGCCCTCCCAGCGTCACCCTCGCTCCCTCCCTGCCACTCACTTGAAGCAGTTCTCGTCGTAGATGGCCGACCAGACGCGCGTGGAGGACACGCCCCGGTAGCCCGTGAACCGCTCCGGGTTCAGCAGCAGGTCCACGAACTGCATGTCGGCCGACGACTCGTCGTCCATGTCGCAGAAGCTGTCCAGCGCGTCGTCATGCGCCGTCCAGTTGTCCAGGCGCCGCTGGCGAGACGCGCTGCCAGGCGCGGAACAACAGCAGTCGGCACACGACGGAACGGCAGTCGGCACAGCAGCTGGCACATGGCAGCACAGCAGTTTGCGCACAGCAGCGCAGTAGTCAGCATATGGCACGGCAGTTGTCACACGGCGTTTTCGAAACCGCCACGCGGCAGTCGGCACACCATGGCACAATAGTCGGCACACCGCAGCGCTGCGGCCTGCGAGTGAACGCAAAGCAGCAGGCGCATGGTAACACAGACAGCACAGCATCGGCTCACACAGAAGTAGGCACACAATGACAAAGCAGTCGACATATCGCAACACGACAGCCCGCAGACAGGCGCGCACCGGACGGCGCAGAGGGACATGACGGTGAACACAGCAGTCGGCACAGCGGCAGGCAGGCAGGCACACGGACACAGCGGCCGACGTGCCGCGCAGTGCGCCACAGCAGGGTGGCCGGCAGTGCACCACCAGCACGCACCTGATGGTGGTGTTGAGGTCACCCAGCGACTCGCCGTCGCAGCCCGCGTCCTCCGCCGTCTGGGCAGCTTCGGTGTACTGCAACACAACGGCACTGCTGCGCTGACCGGGCTCACGCGAGAATCCGGTCAAGAACGTGACGGCCACGGCGGGCAGGGAACCGCCTTGACCTCGCGCGGTCACGGCGAAAATGAGTCAACGTAGCACGGGCAAAGCTAAATGCTGTGCACATCTGCAGGGTACAAACTGTTAGACCGAGACCAGCCCAGGGCCCGATCGGACTTTCGGAAATAATAGAACAGCGAAAGTGCGCAATTATTACGGGAAACCACGGCAGCGGAGCCAGCACGAAAACGAGTTTGTTTACACCTTGTAATCGGTATCACGCACTATGAATGTCTTTTCATCGCGTAAAATCTGAAAAATCCTATCAAACTGCATACACGCAGAACACTTCATTTGGAAGCAATGCTCCCCTTTCTGCTACGGGTTTAGACCATCCCCGCAGTGTGCCACCGACTGCTGTTGTCGTGCAGTAATGATTTCTGCGCTGCCACATCTCCGCGTGATCGGAATGAATACGCCTCACCCAAACGAACATGTCGAACAGATTAATTTGCCTGCCCCGCCATGGCTGATCCAGTTCGAGGGCATGCGCAAATGCCGCCAAACACGCCCCTAAACGGCGGAGATTGTGTATGAGGTGAGACCGCCCAGCGCATCAGTGACCGTTCCGCGGCAGCCGTGTTCTACTCCGGGACAGTCAGGGTTGCGGCCATGTGCGCATGTAACGCACGATGTCTACAGGAGGGGGGGGGGGGGGGGGGGGCAGAGACATAAACCGCAAGCGCGCCGCTGCGCCCCACAGATCTAGGCAGGCGGCGGGTAAACCGCGGCCGTGGTAGGCGGCCCCCTCGGGCGTCTCGTAAGGTCTCCGGTGTATCGGCAGAAGGGCTCCGCAGCAGGCTTACCAAGCACGCTTACTCACAAGCGAGCCTGCTCGCTGGCGGGATTATCACCAGCTTACGACAAAGTTAGCTACATGGCCGGAGTCCAGAGAAAGCCATCCGGTCGAGACAGATGCTTCGGTTCCTGTCCGAGTCTTCCGTCATGGACCTTATTTGAACCTGCCATCAGCACGCTGATGGAAACATGCTTTCATAAACATTGGTTGACCTCACAAGGAAGTTTTCATCAATAATGCGAGCCTGAAGATGGTCACACCAGACGTATGCATCGCGGCACGTATGCACGAAACGTATCAGCCACAAGGCAATCTTTTCCACGTTCAACATACCTTGTAACTTGGCTTTTCTTCCGTCTTCGGTGCAGATGCAGCAGCCTTTAAGCCGATGGGCACTTCCTCCTGTAACCAGAGTGAATCAGCAGGTCACCACACAGCAGAGTAGCTGCCACAGCTGCGAGGACGCTGCGACCCTCGCAAAATGATGTGTTTAAACAGCGAGCTGGAAAATCCGTGCCTGCGGTTAAGGGCCACCAGCAGGCGTCGCCGCAGAATCACGTGTAACACGACCGGCGCGCCGCCAAAATATCTCAAGGGCTTCATCGTGACGTCACTACGTCGGCGTGAGAGGTCGCAATAATGGTGTTATTTTTAGCCATACGAGTTGAAAAGTGAACTCATGATAACTATGAATTGTACTTCATGAACTTCAAAGTTATCACAACCATATACCTCTCCATATCCCATTTAAGTGGTGGAGAGGTCTATATCCGAACAAGAAATCAAACCAGCAAATCTCAAGACGCCAAGCCAACGGCCCGAGACAGCAGAATTCAGCAGTCATGTTTCTGACATCGCCGGTGTTCACAGATCGCTGTCATCATATCTGTTCCCCAGTAGTTCCGTAACATGTCATAGCTAGCACACAGTTAGGAAAATGCGTTGAGATGACAGCATTCCGAGCTTTATATACTAAGCGTAGTATTGTGACTCCCCTCACCGGCTAAGTTTGCAGCTAAATATCTGACATCAAATCATCATGGCGTCACGCGTCGTCCCGCCAATGCTCATATAAAAGCGGTTGGTAAATCAAGGCCCCTACCAGTGATTCGCGTGATACAAAATTGCATGAGCAAGCTGACGCGCATCGATATTTTTCAGACGAGACAACGTCATAACTGCGCAACGCACTTCAAAATATGAGTACGTCTTCCAGCTAAAACGCTATGCTCCTACGCCCATGCATTTCGAACTGCAAAGCTACGAAGAGCACCGGGTAGGCTGGGTGAGCTCGACCAGTCATTCAAGCAAGAATCCCTTTATTTTGTAAAAGTGTAGCGATCTGCTCCGTAGTTCCCTGACAACAATTTGACGGCAACAGCCCGTTATTTGGTGCCCACATCCGACCGTTCCATGCCACCGCTGTCAGGCACAGCCCAACATGCTGTATTTGGGCAATGCAGAAGTAGACCTCGATAACCGGCCCCCACAATTCTTCCCATACCCTTTTTGTCAGACTACCCGGCATTGAAAAACTTCCTGCACAAAACTTCCCGTGCCCTTATTGCAGCAGACTATTGCATCAGATGACCGCGCGAGCACCTGCCGCGCCACAACTTGCACATGCAATGCAACCAAGACACTAGTCGGAAACGCAACCATGCTCCTGCTAGGCGCCGGGAAGCGGTTGGAGTATCCGCTTTCAGGCCCCGATTGGCAGCCCGTGCTCGAACCCTGCCATGATACCGCATTGTTCGATTACCAACGAGTATTTACTACCTCGCAACGAACAGTGCGCCAAATATGCAAGGCCCGTGCGCTGTTTGCACGGGCTTTGCAGATGCAACGGACTTAAAATGAAAGATCACACCTGCAAGTCTCTGCTGACAATCGCTAACGCTCAGAGACAAGGTGCAGAATTGACGAGAGCAGGGTGACGAAAGTGCAATGCAAGCACAACCGATTACGGGAAATCGTATCACTTATATGACTGTGGGCTGATAGCACTCCCAATGCTTCCGTGCACACGAGTGCGCCAGACAGCAGCATGCGTTGTGCACCAGTTCCATGTTTCGGGTAGCTCACAAGGTACATACCACTGTAACGCGGAGGTTGCAGTTCTAGGCGATAATGTTTTCACACATTGCACGCATACGCCCGAAAAGGTGGCGTAAAACCCCGCCATCGCGACGGTCCACGTCCCCGCGGTCCGCGCACAAGCACGGCGCGAGGCGCGAACTTGCTCCGGGCAAGATGCGGCCGACTCCACGACCGGCACAGGGCTGACCATTGACCCAGCGCCGACGAAGCGGGTCACCACTGTCGCGGCCTCAATTCGCGTGCATGGCCTGACATAGTGGGGGCACGCAGCCGTCCTCGTCCCCTTCCCCGTCCTCTTCCCCATCCCCGCTCCCCGGGGCCAGCAAACGCGGACCCCTGACCACCTGCGCGGTGCACCTGTAGCACACCACCGACCATAATGGTCACCGCGAAGGTCAACAGCCGTCTGACGAGCGGCGCCAAGGCAGCACCCCGTACCGGCAGCGGCGCCAGGGCAGCACCCCGTACCGGCAGCGGCGCCAGGGCAGCGCCCCGTACCGGCAGCGACGCCAGGGCAGCACCCCGTACCGGCAGCGGCGCCAGGGCAACCCCCCTACCGGCAGCAGCACCAGTGCAATCCCCGTGCCGGCAGCGGCACCAGGGCAACCCCCGCACCGGCAGCGGCACCAGGGCAGCACCCCGTATCGGCAGCGGCACCAGGGCAACCCCCGTACCGGCAGCGGCACCAGGGCAACACCCCGTACCGGCAGCGGCACCAGGGCAACCCCCGTACCGGCAGTAGCACAGTGCTCATAACGCACTGACATTCCTCTTGGCAGAAGAAACGTTTTAAACGGAAGTTGTGGACCCCACCTACTGGAAAAACTCACTTACTTACTGCGGTCTGCACATGCAGCTCAAATGGCCATACCGCGTCGCGTATACATGGCTGGAAAGCTCGAGAAAACGGGACCACTGCGGGACTATGGATTGCAACGGGCCACACCGCAATACAGAGTTCGCACTGTAGATGACCTTTGTGTATAAGCAGTTCAGGCAACCCATAGCAGCAGAGCAAGATTCCAAAGTGAGGCCAGTGAGCAGTTCGAACATTTTTTCCGGTATGGCGTCACATTTTCCCGATCCGGGATAAGAACACTCAAATTTCGCTGCGCTGTTGATTTCGCTGAAGAACCACATGGAAAGTCTCCCGCCCATCCCCCAAAACAAAAGTTTTCAGTATTTGGCGCGTGCGTGTTGCTGGTCTACGAGGCCACGGAGCATGCTCAGTGATGAGCCGTTATCGCACCTCAGTTACATCCGGTTGTTCCTAACGGCGCGGGCGATGCCGTACAGTCCGGCAACCACCGAGCACGCTCGATAGCTAGTCCCCCTCCTCCACCCCGCTCTCTGGCACCGCACTGCATGGCGAATTATTTTTTTAACAGCTGGGGTTAAGTGCCCTCGAAAAGCCAGCTAGCCCGGGAAGAGTAGCTGGCTGGCGGCGCCAGCCGTGCCCCGCCAGCCAGTGACCGGCCGGGGGTGGCGGCGCAGGGCAAGCGGCGCTCCTCACCTCGGCGCAGCACCGGACGCGGCAGGTAGTCTGCGAGCAGCTACCGTCATCCTCCCAGAACGGACACTGGCGCCGCAGGTTCACCTGCCGACACGACAGGCGTCAGTGGCTCGCCGGCGACGAGACGTCGGGTGACGGGCGGCGGGCCGGCTAGAGCGCACCGAGTGACGCCTCCAAGCTGACCTCCCAACAAAGCACCTCTCAACAGCTTTTAACCAACAGTGGTCCTAGAACAAAAAGTGACCCTACGGCAATCAGTGGTTCGACCTGAACGAAAACCAGCTCTTCGACGATGGACAGAGGGCCTGTAACTGTCAGCAACCAGAACCCAATCACGCCTGATCAAAACGAAAAAAACAACAGGTCCCAACCAATAAAAAGAAACCAGCTAAAAGTTTGCCCATGACACCAACAACCACAAAAGCAACAGGGCACCAAATATGCCGAAACGCTTGGGGAGACCGACACACATGCTCCACACACACCACACAACATCTGGCTTCATATCCAGAAGTTCCACTTAACTGCACATCAATACCTCTGCAGGCCCTCACCTTGTAAAAACGAAAGAAATCCTTGACTAGCAGCGACTGCAGCCGAGGGAAGATCTTGACATTGTTGAAGAAGTCCACGGTATCCACATTACACTCACAGTCGTCCACCTGGCCTTCCAGCTACCCGAAAACACACAAAACAACGTGTAAGCACATACCAATCATGACGGCAAGACATCGCCAAGGCGTGCCACGCTGCCCCCATTTCCACAATGTTTCGGGTGCGAGTTCGACTTCCGATCGTGATGCGTCTCCCCAGCACGACCATGGCCAGCGCAGTCGCTGGCGCTCCACGACAGGGTGTGCGACCGCGTGCGTCGTATTCCTTCGTTAAGCGCACCGGGCGGCCGGCGGCCGGCGGCACCTCACCTGGCAGAAGCAGCGGTCCAGCGCCGACCGATCGACGGCCGGCGGCGCCGGGCCGAAGCTGAACTGGCCGGCACCGGTCGCCGACGCCAGCAGCAGCGCCAGCAGCAGCAGGCAGCGGCCCCACATGACAGCGGGGCTCGGCGCGCGGTTGCGGTCTCGGCCGCCGTTCACCACTGAGCTCGGCTGGCTGGCCCGCCGGCAGCTGCCCGGTGCCGGGGGTTGCGTCAGTTTCAAGAGACGTGGCGACTATACGCCGGGCGGATGGCGGCGGCAGCGGGGGTGAGGGAGGGGGGGGGGACGGGGAGGGTGTTGCGTCATCAGCCGTGCGTGGGACGGGCCGACCAGCCATGCCAGGTAAACCCGTCGTGCGGCCCTCCCCATCACAGGCGGACTCTTTCAGAGCCAGCTCGGCTGACTCAACAGTAGGAGAGGCATGCAACGTCGTTTCGCTTCGTAGTGAATAGGAAAACGCGAGCACCAAGGCAAAAATTGAGGACTGTGGATAGTATATGGATGAGAGTGTGAAAGCAACCAGATACACAAACCACTTGTCATTAGCTTATGTACTGTACATCATACAAGCTGCATCACATCATGCTACTTTAAGCCTGCTATGGACAGAGTAACTTTTGTTGTCAACATACAAGTTATAATGGTTCACTAAAAAAATGAAATGTTTTTTCTCATCAAGCCTGCCTACATGCTGTGTGCAGTTATCACATTTTACTTTGTCATGTACTCTAAGATATCTAAATGATAATGACAAATCATTATAGATATATTATGATGTCACACTTGTTCTTAACAACACAAAACTGGTGTGGCTAAGCAAGAAAAGCAAGGGAAAAATTGTTTGGTACCACTTGTCCTTCCATTAAAAAGAACAGCTAAGCCAGCACCACACATACCTGGGCACCCCAACCTTCCATCATACAAATGAAGTGGTGGCTGACTGCTTGCTCACTGGCTTGAAATCCAAAACATTACTGAGATAAAGTCATCAGACATAAATACAAGCAAAACTTAGAGGACAACTGCCAGTGCCCTGGCTTGACATAAGATGCATCACTGATATAAAACCATCAGATATCAAGATGCACAAGAACTGTTAATCACCATGCCATCAAACATAATGGTACTCCTTTTGCTATTCTCTTAACTTTAAACAACAAACAATATCTTATCACTAAAATGGAAGTGCTGCACTTCCATGGCAGCAAAGTATACAATATATACACACACACACGCACACACGCACACACACACACACACACACACACACACACACACACACACACACACACACCACACACACACACACACACACACACACACACACACACACACACACACACACACAGATATATATATATATATATATATATATATATATATATATATACATATATATATATACATATATGTACATATCTGTATATACATATATAAGATGCAAATAAGACAATAAGATCAAAAGATGTAACTGATCTGTGGGCAAACATTCTGTTCACAAACAATGAAGGACATGAAAAGCTTAACTGTGCTTTGTAGTTGAAAGACAAACTATAATACTGTGCTACTGCTGACAGCACATTGACTGCTCAGTCACTATCAATGCAAGTGCAAAATCAAGAATGCATTAATGCAGGTAGAGGATGGCATGAGGATCTCATGCAATGCTGGGTTTGCAGCTGGCAGATTCCATAGGACTTAGCATATAAAGCACCTAGGCACATAAGCAGTAGTAGGTGGTGCGCTGTGCAAACAATGTGGCAGAAGAAAACAAATTATTGGCCTCTTCACAGGCACACTGTCAAATTTTCCTGTTGGTGGCAAATATGATTTTTTCTTGGAATTCCTGCAAATTTTTATCAAACTCCTCCACCTTCATGCAGCATACGCTATCTATGGTATGCTGCCTAGCTTGGCTGGGAGGGGGAGGGGATGGTGCCAGTGTCCCACACTGGCTATACCACAGCACATTAGTGGATGCAAGCTATATAGTGTAGTTTTGAAGGAGCATTCCCTTCATGAACAAGTTGTTACATGCATGGGAGTTTTTGATAACCATTTTGTCTGTCTGTTCATATCTAAATTTTCTGCATAGCCTGGTAAGCATTATATATACATATATATATATATATATATATATATATATATATATATATATATATATATATATCACATCACATCAATCACATCACATCAATCACATCACATCAATCACATTAATCACATTAATCACATCACATCACATCACACAATCACATCACAGTATATGATGTGGGCATTGTGGGATGAACAATGTAGTCTTCCCATGTCATGGAGGTAACAGGGCTGGAACAATATAGCTTCCCATGTCATGGGAAACCACCTTGTGATGAACAATGCAGTTTCCTATGTCATGGAGGTAACAGAGAGGGAGGAGAGACACATACCATACAGAAAGCCTCACATTTGGCAAAACTTGCTGATGACGTGGCACCATGAATGGCTGGGAGGTAAAAGCAGCCTGTTGGTGTTTCATGATTTGGTTGTCAAACTAGCATATTCATATTATAATTGATGACCTTGGTTGATCTCACACAAGACTCATTGGGTTAAATCATACCATGATATTACCAAATTTCATTATCACATAAGGGCAAGGTCAAATCTCAATATCACATAGTTGTTTTGTTTCTAAAGTTTCAGACACAGATGGCTTTGGCATTAATAAAATATTAATTTGTACCCATTTATTTATTACAGATAGACATAACCAATCATTCCAGTTAGAAACTTACAGGGCCATTGTACATAACCTCTGATGGTGGTGAAGTCTGGCCCTATACAGTGCAACTGGTGCACTACTACAATAACAAGTGATAACAACCAACTGCATTCAATAAATTCTGTTAAAGAAGTGAAAAAGCAAAAAAAAAAGTCCAGACCAGCTGCAACCAGAAGCAAAATTGTCATGCACACCCCAAAATCATTGTCAAACTTAAGCTACTGATCTGACCAAACATTGAAAAGATCCACAGGCTGCTCATCAAATGGATAACCTGTCTGATGCCAAAAAATTATTTGGCAGTTCCCAAAAGCCAGTGAGCATTTAATTTTCATCTCCCAGGCACTTACAAACTTACAGGGCAACTCTATATGCATGGTATCTATATGCATGGACATCATACACATCAAACCCACATCCCCAGCATACCTACTTGGTGCAGCTCTCCTTCCTGCTGTGCTTGTCACACCTACCAAAGCACAAAAAAGATACTGGCGTCTGTCTCTGTGTTTGAATGTCCTAACGAAGTATCGACTTCACGAAGCTCTAACCAAGCATCTAACGACACGTCAGCGGTCTGCTGATGCCTCACATCCAATATCAGCAAGGTGCGGGGCCTGATGAAACTCCACGGAACCCCAAGTCCATCAGCTATCAACATAGCCTACCGTCCCACAAATGACTAACGAAGCATGTCAGCCAGACCCTATAACATGCCACTTACCCTTGTCGCCGACCGCAGCAACCACCCGGAACCTCAGACGCAACCGCAAAACATATGCACGCGACGGCTACCACCTCGCACGGCACGCGTGTTTTGTTTTGTTAGCATAAATGAGCGTAACTAGCGGAAAGCCGGGAAAATCTAGCGATAAATGAGAAATCCAGATACTTCGCGAAATGTCATGGCGAATAAAGAATAGAGAATAGTGTGATTTGCACGTTGCATACATACATAGAACTACGAAATAAAACGCTTTGTCTAGAGTAAGCTTACTGCTTTCCACTCAAGAGGATGTCATAGTTTTGTTTAAGAATAGAACGTGCATGTGCATCAGGAAAACTTGATAGGTACTCAATTCTAGCGCATAGTTGACGTTTTAATGTTTTGCGCCGGACAGCATAAGCTGGGTTAACGTTATCGCTGCTTGTCCTTATGCAGGAAGTAGATTCCCCTTAGGTTACGCTAGGTCCTTCGAGGGGAAAAAAGAGGCCTTGCATTGGCCCACCAAAATAAAAAACGCCCCCCTTTTGTATTTCACCTTGGACTATTAAACGGCCCTGGTTTTCGCAACTTTTCCAATCACTGATGCCAGACTGACATGCTATTTTCAGCTAAAAACCTGGATCCTTTTTTATAACTAACTGGTAGTGGGCTTACTATGTTGGTAAGGCTGGTGTGCCCCACCAGCTTCAGGTTGTTGCTGCTCCCACTGTTACAACACCTGCCATGTCAGCACATCCACAGGACAGGCTGGGCTGCAGTTGCAAGTCTACCCCCAGTGTGACAGCATTTGGTTTGGGTTCTTGGTGGGTACTTGGCTGTTGGGGCTGAGCAGCCACTGCCCAGCACCCTCATTCCTTGTGTCAATTGCTGTGTGTCCCTTGCCATGGCATCATGAACACCCTGTATAATTGAGTGCAGTCTTTGCACTATTGTTGTGATGTATACCAGACAGTTAAGTGCTGTCTGCTTCATTAGGCCTTTCATGTGACCTCCAGTTTGGATTCTGAATTGTTTATGCAAATGCAATCACTTCACTAAAATGTGATCTAGCACGCCCAAGGATCAGGTAAGTTCATGCCCTATGTTATTGTATTGAATGTTAAGTAGCTACATGGATATCATCTGTGTCTGGCAGGATGTGTTTCTTCTTCCTGGTCCTTGCATGTTCCCAGTGTGCTTCCTCCAGTCTCCTGTGATCCACTATGGTGATTGAAATCTGATCTGTACATGCTCAGCCAGCAGAGTTGTGCAGTAGCTCATTTGTACCACTCCTCATTTATTGGCCTGTTGAGAACTGATGCTTTCAGTTATAACAGATGACTGTGCTGCATGAGATGAGATACATTAGGGATATTCATGAGATCCTGATACATTCCAGCTGCTGCATATTCAGGATTGTTTTGATTTGCAAACATAGATATATATCCAGTGTTGGAAATTCCAAAAAATTCTGGGTGCAGTAGTACACATTTTCTATAGTGGAGTACAAAGCTATCCAAGTACTGTGGGTCATTACAGCTTTATTTAGGTTATCTTGGAGAGATAATAGTACATTGGGTAGCACTCAACAAAAACACCACTTTTCTTTACAGCAATTCTTGTAAACATACTTTAAATGAAAGGAAACATCAGTATTAAACATGGCACACTGAAACAACACAGTCTCATACTCTGTATTATGAAACACATGTGCATATACATTGGTTTGCAATTTAAGAAATGCTCTGTGTATACATGCTTCAAAATGGAGGATAATTACCCATCAGGCTTGTACACTCTCCAAAATGGAGGGTGGCTACATGCCGGGCTTGAGGGTGGCTACATGCCGAGTCAGTCACTCTGCTGACTCCGGCGGATAATACAAGGTATTAATGGGTTTTGATGCGATTTAACCGATATCATTGAGAAATATGATGATTCATGTTGCAATTAATTGATGTTTTTGTCCTCATTAACCCTTCTCCTTAATTTGCCGAGCCAAAGTTATAGGTTCATGTTACTCTGGTGTCCTGGTGTTTTTTGTCGGAGTAAGATGGGTGTCTCCGAGCAGTTTTTGTGCCATTTATAGCAACTTTTTTCGACTTTAGGGGATTTTTGTAAAGCCTGAACTACCTGCTTTAATTTCACACCCTTAAGTGACAAATTTAACGTGGTTTAAATCCGCAGCTGCCGTGACATTTTTGTACTCCGGTTACCAGGAAGTGGCTAAAAATCCAACCACATGGCGGTTCTGGATGAGTACAAATAAGTCCATCTTCATAATCGTGATGCCCATCTCTGTACAGCTTCCCTCCAGATGTTTACAAATCTGTTCAAAGCATGGGTGCGAGCGGAATATTCATGCTCTTGACAAATCAGTCACGAGGAGACGAATCATTATAACCAATTGGAGAGTTTTGCTATGCTCAACCTCCAACCTGAGCCGGGAGGCGGGCGCGAGCCGCTGGATAGTTGAGACGTTTCCGACGCTGAATTGCGAGTGATTCTATTATTTACAATACCATGACACAGTGGAGACGCATGGGAAGGCGGCCGTCTGCGGTAGGTGATTGGGCGTGCAGTTTTCTATGAATGTTCGTTGCATCCCTGGCAATTAATGCGTCATAACGGTAACACAACGGCATCAAATAACGGTTCGTCGTCAATGGTAGGTTAAGTCATGTTCATGTTTGAGTTGGTTTGCGTAGGGCATAGGAAGTGATAGCTTTGCTAATCTGCGGATCGGTGCGATCCTGGTACTCGCTTCTCATTTTCGAGTATTGTTCAAAGGCGGTTCCATTCAACATTCACATGGTTTATTTTTCACATTTCCATACATGGTTTATCATGTACCTAGGTGGCAACACAGGCTGCTTGTTATTGGCCATCTTAGTCTGGTGGGTGCAAGATCCGTGCTCTTGCATATGTCAATACATGGCTCCTGATGGAAGCAGCAAGTCTCAGGCTGTTGCACCTTCTCGTTTTATTTTGTCGTGACACAAAGAGGTAAAATGAGTTTTTTTCCAAAAGCTGTTCTTGTTGCATCATGACGGAGTAGAATATATTTCACGTTACCTAGTCACAATCCTGGAGTACAAAATCTCCCGGTGTACATTATACCAGGGAACGTCAAGTTTTCCAACACTGTGTATACCAGGCTGTCAGCCTTTCTGGTGTGGTAATTGAAGGCAAGTCCAACCGATGTGGCACTGACGTAAACAGATGGTGAAAGACCTCCGATTTCTGCATTCTAAGCTTTTTTGCAGTTTGTTCTGTAGTCTCGTCGCAATGGTGCGTGGTCGGAGATGGGTTTGCAAGAAGCGAGCACAGGTATCAATTTGCCTGTTTTTTTTTGGGGGGGGGGGGCACTTCCCGCACTCCTCAAAGCCCAATTTAGTTGTGTCCCAGAAGTCAGTTTTTCCCCTCTCCCTCAACTTTTTGGGGTCTAAGTATAAGTAGAACATTAAAAGTGGGAGCCCAGAACTGCATGCATTTGGAATATTTGTAGTACTTATTTCGAAGGCAAGGATCAAGAAAATGAAACCTGCAGTATCATGTTCAGTTGAGTGCAGCTGAAAGAGCTTGTCACATTTTAAGAGCTGCGCGATTTTTCCGTGTGTACTTACGTATTTTTCGTTTTTGTGTGTTTTTTCGTGCTGAATGCTGCATGCTTTGAATTACACGATTTATATGTTTTATCGACGATGGTCTAGTTTTTGCCGTCGGAGTGTGTTGGCATTTTCAGCGATTTTCAAGTCTTACAAACCAACAAGTTGCGCTATTCCAAGGTAATTAATAGAAACGGAAGTTGCGTCACTCGATCACGACGTATTATCGGAGAATGAAAACAAACCAGTCGAACGCCAGCACCAAAAAAACATGACAGTTACTAGCCGCCTACGTGCGGAAAAGCCTTGAAATTGGCCGACTTTCACTTCGGACGTAAATATTCAATGGAACGGTTGCGGAAACGTGACGCTCGACACTAGCCAACTTAACCAGCCGGTAATCACCTGACAGCAACCAACAAGGCAACATAAGCCGTGTCGAACATGTCTACCGCGAGTGCTGCACTAGAGCCTGCAGCGCGCCTTGCGGCTACCGGCCGGTGGTTGGGTATCCATGACAGTCTGTGGGTGTCGCGCACAGTAACTTACACTCTTTATTCCCGGAGCCGTGCATGTCCAACAACATCTGAAACCCCATGACATACGAGCGACTGTTCGCAGACGCTCCGCACAAAATATTTGCCGATTCTGCTACCATCTGTCAACGAGTTTTCAAATTACACCGCGCAACTGCAGCTTTCCACAGCAGAGCTCTTGCCCGTGACTGCCACCGCTGTGGTTACCATGATCATGCATTCATTACGACTCGTGCAATATATATGGCCTAATGTTTGATTCGTGTTAATGGACTTCATGTTCGATAAAAGGGAGGTGTGGCAGTGATAATACCAAAATCGTAAAATAGTGCACAAAAGCACTGTTCTGTGTGTTATGTTGGCAAAGGTCACATTCATGTTCCTGTTCATGTTCATTTTATTCACGATTCATTCCAACAAGCGGCCTATTGTTTGATCCGGTGCAGTAACATTATAAGTATGAGTGCAATATTAAAACATGACAACAACGCGACCACATTCGCACGTTAACCACCCCGTCGCTCACACAACTTCCTTAAACATAGAACATTAATCAAAATGTAAATCGTCAAAACATGCTACACAACGGCAAGTAAACAATGTTACGCGGCGGCAATGATTACACAACGGGGTCGTCTATATCGTCCAGTCTGATACGAAGCTACTTACGGGTGCGAAAGCAGTGCCGGTCGGCGGCAGGCGGCTCCAGGATCAGGCCGCGCAATACGAGGAAGCCCTGCGTGCTACTGGCAGGCGAAGAGCTGGCAGGTCAAGGGGCGCCCGCCGCTGCTGCCCGGGTGACACGCTGACATATAGCGGTACGTGGGGTGAGCGGGACCGGATCGCCGTCGGAGCCCGCGAGTCATTAAGAATACAGATAGGCTATGCTTGTGGGTGACCAGGTCACGGAGACTGCGCCCACCCAGCGCTGGGAACAGTCGCCGCCTTTGAATCTCGACCGGATAAGTTTGCCAGTGGCGGACGTGAAGTCCAGATATGGACACAGCACGGCTGCGGTGAGCCATAAAGACCGGCTCCCGGCTCCCAACGTACTGTAGGGTATGATACGACACGTTAAGTACGACATCGTACTAACTGTCCTTCGCACTATATTTCGGGATGCCTAAGCTGGAAAGGGAGGAACCCCAAAGCGGTGGCCAACACCGAGCCCGTGACGCGCTAACAGCGGTGCGAGGAAACGGGAGGGGGGGGGGGGGGAGGGGGCAGGCAGCGACCGGACCGCCACTGGTACGAGGGGACATTAAAAGCTCAGAAAGCGGTGTGTGACAAGGTCACTCATGCCGCGCCAGCTCAACGACTCGAAGACCGGCGAGATGTCCCGGTCCCACGCCCACGCGAAATTTTGTTTTTACACTCGGCTGAGATAGCAGGCAGCGACCATGCGGTCCAGACTGAAAGGCAGCACAAGGTGAGAGGGAAAGCACGGGCTCTGATAACTGGTTTGCGGGTGTGAAGTAGTGACGAATTTGATATCATCATGGGCAAAGCGGCATGGCATTGCACTCTGACTACTTCGGATGTCCGAATCACAGGACAGGATGCGGTCGAAGGTAACCCCCCAACATCCCCCTGGACAACTAGGGGTGTGAAGGATGATAATAGGATGATATTGATGGAGGATGATATTTTTTGCTGGCTTAAGATGCCCGTTCGAAGATGGTCGCCTCGTTGAAGCTGTTTTTTTCTGGCTGTCTATGTGGCGCCAGGCTTTTCCATATTACGAGGCCTCGTTCGGGAGCCGCCTGCCGCCAGCCGTTGTGCCCCCCCCCCCCCCCCCCCCCCCCCCCCCCCCCCCCAGGGAGGTCTGGTGGTCATGGCAAGATTTTATAATGTAACATGCTTATAGCGATAGCGTTTAAAGGGGATATTTTATGTTTGAAGATATTGAGACAAGTATCAGATATGATGAAATAAGCCCACTTATTGATATACTTTTAAGTAGAAAAGACTGCTTTCAACAACACGGTTTTTCCGTTAAGCAAATGTGCCCTTCGATGCGCAATTGCTTGATTGCGTCTTCGTACCGTACGCAACATTGATTGACAGCCGGTTGACGGCCGTTATACCGGGAAATCGTGCTCACGGACGCCAGATATGAACTCCGTCATTATGCTTTTCTTGGCCTTGATGGCCACATGTCTTGTTAAATGACAGAATTTGAATGGCGTTATTATGAAGTCCTAAATGCCAAGTTGACATTGAAATACCCTACCCTTAATAGTCTCTCTTTCTTCGCGGGCGTGTACTGAAAACTAGAAGGATTTAGGTCTTAAAAAGGGCGGGGCTGTGAACCGCACGGAATGATCTTCAAGATATCCATTTCAGTTAAAAACCCCATTGAAATTTGGAACACTTAGTTTACGCCCCGAGCTGTTTCCTTTGTTCGTAGTGTTTCCAACATATCTACATCATCTTTTTTATCGTGTGACATACAACCCGTCGTGTTAAATAAAACATAAAGCCATGTATATAAAACTGATCGTAATGAGTATATGCTAATGATGGTCATCATCCTGACGGCGGCGGACATGCGGTCGATTTCTGCTGCTTCATGCTGGACCATGTGGTGTAATTTGAAAACTCGTTAGTGGATGGCAGCAGGGTTGGCAGACATTCCATGGGGAGGATCTGCAAATACTCGTTTGTCATAACACCGGCCCTAAGTCGATCACTGAATCCTGCTTTTGACCATCCATGTCCAACAAAATGGTAGTGACGCCCAACGGTGTCACCCGCCGAGAACGTGCGCGGGGCGCGGAACAGCGGCTGTAATTTCCGACTCAGTTCGGAGGGGGGGGGGGGGAGGAAGAGGGGACGACTCCAACCTTGTAACGGTAAGAGCGATGCGGGTCAAACTTACCAAGTCACCCATTTTATGTATCTTAGGGGTGAGTTCATTCATTTTCTCCGCTCAGCCCCCATACCCTGCACCCCTGTAGCGGAAGCTTAATGGCCGTGACGCATGCTGATTTCCCCGTCAATCTATTTCATCGTCTTAGCCCACAGCGCAGCTCCAAAGCGGAAAGCGTCTGGGCTAAGAGGCAGGTGGATCAAAACCGCTCTAAGGCGATTGGCATCTTACGCCAGCCAATTGGCGGCACTGCAGGTCTCAAGAATTTCGAACGTATTGTGTAGAAATTGCGCATTGAATGGGGTTTTCGCAGTACACGTAACATAACGATAGAAAGTGGGATGCATGCATGCATGCATGCCCATGCATATCTTGTTCAACATTCCAAAACGCCAGAACATAGAGACCAGAAACCTCCATAGATACCGTAAACATAAGCACTAATGGAAGCTTTAATTACGCATATTTACCCATTCTGAATTCCTCGGTGGTGCAGTAGGTTGATACCTTAGTCGATTTTGGAGAGAGGACGTGGTTCAAGCCTGACTTCGGTTGGGTTTTTCTTTTCCAACTCCCATCCAGACGGCGGCAGCGATTGAGGAGTGATGGCCCTGCCCCAGGATTAACACAGCGCCAGCAAGCGCCCGCGGCAGTTGAGTCACGGGTACCGTTCGTCATTTTGCTTTGATGCTTCGGTGCGATTTCCCACTTCGAGGGCACCCCCTCACCCTGAGTCGTCGGAGCCATTGCCTGGCCTCCGAGTCAAAGGAACCGGTATTAATACTGGTTTCTGGGCATGCAGAGGCTTATAAGCCTCTACATGCATGCCTACGTACTACGGCAGGACCCCTGCCGGCAAGCGCGTGGTCAGGACCATCCTTAAAGGTTGCCGAAAATGGGACGTCTGCCTTGCGTAGTGTACGGTACGGTACCGCCGGTACGGCACCGTCAGCGTACGGCACGGTACGGTACCGTCCATAGCGTATTAGTATTATTAGTGTATCATTATCATTGTGAAGCGTATCATTATCATTATCACTGTGAAGCGTGCCGTGAATGCTGATCATTGGTGGTCTCATCTGCTGCTTGCTGCACGACGGCAGCCATGCATCGCGTGCGTCGGCTTCGTCAGACGTTCAGGCCTTTGTTTTTACTTATTCAAGTTGTGTTCGCACCGACGCTCCAGCTACCCCGTGGATATGTGCCACCGCCAGACGGGGTTATCAACAACTCTCCGAACTAGACCCAACACACGGATGACGTGCCCAGCCACTGCACCGACCATCACCTGACCACTTCTACCTTGCAAGAAAAGCGCAATAGAACAGCACCAAAAAGGAGGAAAGAAATCGTGCAAGGCGGGTTTGACATTTTGACAAATACCATGCCGCGTATGTGTGTATATATTCTTGTTTTGGTATCATTCATATTCCCCCCCCCCCCCCCCCCCGCCACAATGCCGACTCTGTACAGCAACTGGATCGCTAAGCCAGGCGGCCAGTGATGTGTCGGCGGGACGGGCAAGGCGTCTGCGCGCACAGGCCGCGCCGGAAGAGCAGCTTAGGGCCCTGTCGACAACGAGGGGCGAGACGTCCGGGTGCGAGCGCAGCGGGTGGCCCGGCGAGACTGCGTCTCGCGACCGCGTGCTTAATTGCAAGTCCGGAGCAGGAAGAATAGCGGGGAGCGGGGCATCCAGCGGGGCGGCGTCTTTCACCGCCGCGTTCACGCCGCACCGAGGCCAACTTGCATTAACGCCGAGAACCATAAAAAAAACGTCCCGAGACCAGGGGCCACCTCTGAGGTCCCCGTAAAATGTCACTCGCTGCAGACAAAACAGACGCCTGCATGGTCCCTGGGCACTCTCGAGGGTCTGACGCATTTTTCAGTCATCATGTTAATAAACTTGCAAGGTACAGCCACGCAACGCATTTCTGCTTGCGGTCTGTGGACGTATTTCTATCGATACCCACGAAATACGAAAACGGACATATTTAGATCAGCGCAACAACGCAGTCGTGTAGTTGTGACGTAGCCCAATATAATGGGGCATCTGCATAAGAACAGCAAGGCGACGCATCTCAGCAGACACGCATCCCACAGCAAAACGACGCTTCTCCATCAACATACGCCAGAGACGCGTCAAAACATAATATCGTGTCGTCAGAAGACAGTACGACAGGACGACGCACCCCACAGCTGAATGACGCATTCCATTGCAGAACAACGTGTCCTATAGCAGAGAAATGTCTTCAATGGCAGAACGACGCATCTCCACTTACATACGGTTTTGACAAGAACCAAAAATTCCAAATCAAGATTGCAAAACACTCGCTTGTGTAGCCATAACACAGCACAACAGAATGAAGCATCTTAGAAAATATTCCACAGCAGAACGACGCATCCCTTTTGTCAAACGCGTGAGTCCATGTCTCCAAAGCAGCCATAACACACCCTCGCGTCAACTTTCGACGGCCCTCCAGCGCCGCACGCAGTCACTGGACCTGCGTGCCATCACCGCCAATCGGCAGCTTCTTTGTGCCCTCCTCCTACATGTCCCGCCTTCGGGTCGGAACCCAGCACGACGTGGGCATGACACCGCAATCGCGCACCTGCTGCATGGAGTGCTGCAGGAAGACATTTGGCGGGAATCCCTCAACCAGGCCCAGTGGCCGAGACAACAATGTGTATGACAACGCCCGTAGCAGCACGGCCCCCACTACCCCTGCACCTACCACTGTCGTCTCCTCCGCCTCCACGGTAGACGGTCTTCCGGCCAGGCCGCTAGCCTCGGCTGCCGGTTGTTATCCCGACAGCTCAGGACAGGTCAGGTCACAGCACCGAGGTGTCCACCACAACTGTACGTACGGAAAATGCAACAGCAAGCTGTTAAAGGCAGGATGTGAATAATATTTGACCTCTGCTTTAGCTTGGACATTGGCGATTACAAGGGCCATATCGAGGATTAAACGCTTGCTGAGGAGGGAGGGGCGGGGGGGGGGAGCGTGTAGCGGCGGTGCCAAAAGGAAAGCCAAGATGGTAACCAGGGGGCAGGGTATATATTAAAATCTTCGGTGTATACGTCACCACTGCCACCAGGGTCAGGAAGGGGGCCACACATTGGGTGCCAGGAGGATCCTTGACGCCCTAGCAGGCACACCAACTTTGCATCGACCCATAGTGACCAGATGAGCCACGATTCGCAAGCCAGTGAGTCAGCGAGAACCAGTTGGAAGAGTTAGCAATGAATGCACGACGCGAAAGAATGGCTGCAGAGCCTTGTGTGATGCTGTCTTTGAGTACTTATTATGGCGTTCACAGGTGTAATGCATCAAAAGTTATAGCATTAGCACATTTAAGTGGCAGGTAATCGGGGGCGAATCCAGGATTCCATCACGCTGCACTGTGGGCGCCCCTGGAACTTGGTGCCCCTCTCCATCCCACAAAAAGATCCCAGGATTTCGACCATTATTTCCAGATTCTCATCTCTTAATCAAGGGACCTCCTCCGCACATCGTGGAGGGGTAGACATGATTAGTAGATATGCATTTGACACGGGT